CTACAGATTTCCCTAGCCAGGGCAGGAACAGCTCTTGCACGTGCCGCTCAGGGCCCCACAGCCTGCAGCAAACTGGGAAGCCCGTCCACTGCCGTGTGGCATTGGGGACCTTCTTCCCTCAGGTCATGAGCACTGCACCACAGTGTCCAGTTCACATCCCCTCCCCGAATCCAGTTTGCAATCACCTCCTGTTAGAGGAGACAGGAGCGAGACTACTTTACCTGGCTCTGTCTTCCCTTCGCAGACGTATTTTCAACTCTGTGTACACAAGGTCTCCTTTATCCTTGCTTAACTAGGGGCTTGTTGTGGAAGAGCTGTATTAGTGGAATGTCTTAATTTGATCCAGGTTGTTAGGTTTCTTTTCCACATTCATCCAGATCAGATAAATCCCATGCTGTATTTACTTTTTTGAATGCGTGCCTGAAGAGTCTATGCACTGAGCCTGTTTCTCATAATGTGCTGACTTTTGGAACCGACTCTTTATTTACAGGCTTTGGCAAAATGGTTAGATTTATTATTTATTAACCAGAAGACCAACAGCCTTTTCCTTTAGAAAGGTACAGATTTGCACAAAGGTATATTCTACTATGATAACTGCAAGTTTTGTTCTGGATCTGTTCATAATTCCTGTTATCTGTGGTTTAATATGTATAGCCATTACCACTTTGGGAAAATGAAATTCATTTTTTTTCCATCCTTTTCGCTTCCAAAGTTTCCTCATCATTCTTGAACTCTTGCTGCATTTAGAGATATTTTAAGCCTTGTTTTGAGATCATATTTCGATTTTACTGTCTGTTTTTTTTTTTGTCCAAAAAAAAAAAGCATTTTGAAATGTGATTTATTGATTTGTCTAATAAACCCAGGCTTGCAAACATTCATCTCGCAGCAAGTTTCAGTTTGTGGAATGGCCTGAACACGGACTACAGAAAGAGCGGTCCAAAATCATCCACAGCTCATTCAGACTTGAGCACTGTCTCAAAGGCCTCTCTCTTTAAGCTAAAACTGCGTGCTCAACTGGCAGGAGCTGTTACTGCCACCAGAAGATGCAGTCCTGCCCTAGACTTATCGTTAGTTCTCATCCCTGTGCTACTCCTCCCTTTGCTGGTGGCTGGGGAACTGATCTGAGTGAAAGCCAACTTTATTTGGGCTGGGTTAGTCTTGACTTGCATCAGGTCCCTGATCTGTTTTGCTGCAGGGCTGCACAGAATCTTTTGTGGTGTCAGCCCAAGGGAAGGGACAGCGTGGGGACCGGGATGAGCAGGAAGGTACCTAAGGAGAAGGGAAATGGGAGCACCAGCAGCTCCAAGAGTCCGTGATAGTCCAGCCTTTGTCCCTGTGCCTTGCAGCTCCCTTAATGATGTCACTTGAAATTTTGCCATGTTTTGCAATGTTTCTCTTCCATCATTGCATGATAATGAGCGATCCAAATTGCTTCCCACTCCTCTGGGCTTCTTTGCCATTGCTGCCCTCCGAGGCGGGAGCCTGGGTGCGCTGAGCAAAGCGGAGATGTGCTGCCCCGGCTGCCTGCTTCGAGGCAGCACAGTGGAGTCTGGTGGCCAGAGAGGAAATTGCAACCAATATAATACAACCAAACTCAGCCTGTGAGGTGTTCAGGGAGCAGCCTTGCTTAAACCTTCTGCTCCACCTTCCCAACCGTCCTGCACAGGCTTTCTCTTGACTGAAGCACAAAGGAACCAAACTGCCTAAATATGCAGCTGCCTAATAGCAATCCCTGTGCTGTATTCATTGTGGAAAGGAACTAAACAGGGTTGCTGCTTTCTGATTCTGCTCTGGCCCTGGAGTGCAGTTGGCTTGTAGGAGTGCAACGTTTCCCATCCACGTTTCCTCAGAGCTGGAGGTAAGGGATGATGTAGGAGAGGCAGCTGGAGCCAACGGGCTCTCCAGGAACCCCTGCACAAATACCATGCTGGGGAGATACGCTCTGCCCCCAAACCCTGGGAAGAACACACTGCAGGTGCAGCTGGGGCAAGAACTGCTACTTATGAGCCTGTTGATCTCAGTTTTAGTGCATGCCTGTCCTTGCAGAGTTCCCCTTTGCCCCTTGCCTGCTTATTTGCTAGGGTTAGCCTTTCCTAACCTGCTCCCCAGAACTTCCTCCCATGAAACCAAGCCACTTCCTGCCACCACTTCGTAGCAGTTGGCTCCGCTTTCATCTTACCACACCTTTTCTTTTTAAAATAAAAACAACCCCATTTCACAAGCACCAGTCCCATGAGCAGGATGACGAACACTAGAGTGGTGGCTTGGTGAGGTGGGAAGGATCCCAAGTGCAGTTATCAAGATAAGCGTATCTTGCTTCCTGCTTCCACAGAGCTTCCCTGTGCAGAAGCTGCAGTTGCATAGCGTGGAAGCAGGAGCCTTTGAAAATGATGAAACGTGTGGAAGGCATCTCTGTGATATAAGACCCTAATGTAGCTTGCACTGCACTTCTGCTAGGGCATAATGTCTGTCCTGATACAGCTCTTGCCCACAAGAAAAATCTCTTGTCAAATTTTCTTATCCTTGTGTGTCTCTGGGTTTGAGCACAATCTGGTCATGCCTAAGAATGTTAAGATCTGATTCTAAAACTGTTTTGTCTTGTTATGCCTCTTTTACAAAAAGTCCTTGGAAATCCTCTTTAGCCAGACATCAATATTCCTGAACTAATGAGAGTAGCTGTTGAAAGAAGTAGATACTTGCAGAGAAAATTATTTGTCAATGTTAACAGAAAGGAAATATTTCTCTGATAAAATTCTTCCTTTTTTTTTTTTTAAGTTTTGTATTATATATCTCTGTCTTATTATAGTCAGAACAGAGATAATTCATATCTCAGATTTGAACTCCAAACATACCAGAGCCAAAAAAGAGAGGCTTTGTGCCTTATATTTCATAAACCACTTAGCATCTAATTCTCAGAAAATGGATGATGCAAGTAGAATTCACTCTGCTGGGTATAAATGTGTTCTTGTTTTGGTCATCAATTCATTTTTATGTCCAGCTCACCTTTGAATAACTTGTCTTTTTTTTTTTTTTTTATGAAAGAGATGGCAATTAAATCAGATGGGGAAAAAGGAAACCTCTTAATTTCTTCAGATCAGATGTTTATCTGATTTTGTCGTGTATGCTTTCTAAGCTTCTGAGACGGACAGGAAGCCTGGAGAGCATGGAAGTCTTGGTGACTATTGTACTGACGTTAGTGAGACTATTGTACTGACGTTCGTGACCTAGTCAACAACTTCATCAATGTCATATCAAATATTATGTCTCTTCGCATTTCAGGAAACACTGTGGGTGAATGCTCAACCTTTTATAGATGAAAAAAAATCCTTTTTGGGGGGCTAAAGGGCAGCAATGACAACAGGATAATTACATATTCCTCTTTTATCTGATGGAGCAGCACTGCTGAGACACAGAGAAAGCGCAAGGAGTAGCATAAAATCAGCTGCCTGAAGCAGGGTGAAGATGGCTTTCTTGATCTAAGCACTGCCAGAGGCCTCTGAAACAGAGTCCTGCTGCAGAACGGGGAGCTAAGGAACTTGTGTGTGTGCTTGGCAGCTTCCCATGCTGCTGATAGACGATACTGGAGTTCATCTAGCAGGGCAGTGGAGAAGCACAGCAACACAGGCTGCCGGCACCGCGGGAGCTCGTGCAGGGCAGCCTCTTCCTTGAAGCAGCACTACTGCCTGCCTGCAGCAGGTCACACATGGCTTTTTGAAAAGGAAAGTCATGGTAGGCAGTAAAAAATAACCTTCTAATTAGCAGCTTTCTGATAACAAATAATCATTTTTATTTTTCTTGCAGACACTCTGGTCATGACCTTATCCACAAACTCTTCCCCAGTTCTCTAGCAACACTCTATTCACTCCCGGTTTATGAAAGCATTACTCACCTACCCAATAAAAAAATGACAAATAGCAACAAAGAAACAGATACAGCCACACTTCTTGGCTGCTACTTAGGATCCTTTTCCACCCTGTCAGTCCATGATCATTTTTAAATTATTATGTCTCTGGGGAACAAGGATTGCTACTAGGAAAATACTTACAAACCAAATAAATGCAGCCAAGCTTTTTAATAGCTAACCTTTCTTGCTGTTATCTACTCAAGATGGTTGTTATTTAAGGTTCAGAATATCACCAGTGCCAGCACAAGTATGAGGTCAGTGAGTAATTCAGTGAATACTGATTTCACTGTGATGCTATCTGAGTATGTTGAGAAAAACACAGAGCAGGGCAGCTTGCTTCCATTTGCCATTGGGGCTCTTAGTCTAAAATAGGCCTGTTTGCAGAGCATGTTCTTGCTCATTTAAATTATAAGAACTGCAACTTAAACTGTTATTGCACTTTCTCATTTCCAGGTACACCAAGATACTCTCATACAGTGCTAGGATGAAAAGTCATGCTTTCTTCCAAAGTTAATTTGCAACATTAAACTGTTTAATTGTTTAGTATTTGACAAGCATTAATGCTTTAAACTGGGGTGTAAGTGAGGGAAATGGTAGGACTAAGCCTGGTGTTAACAAATGGGGAATGAAGTGCAGACTAAGGAACAAAGATCTTCCCTGTTCCTGAGTTTTCATATTTCCTCATCTTTTATTTCAACAAGGACCACTTAGGTTTAGCTTCCAGGTGCCCTGAGGCTGTGGCAGCAGGTGTGTTCAGTTAGCCAGCTTACTAGGGAGCTCTGTGGTACAAATAAAAAGGCAGGATGAGAGGCCTTTTAGGAAGGAGGGAGTAAAAGAAGGGGGTGTGGGAGGTGAGGAAGAGGTTTCCTTGTGGAGGGCTGGCTGGTGACTGTCTTACAGAAGGATGGGCAAGGTTTGAGAGTGGCTAATTCAGTGTCCTGTGCTTGCAGGTTGTTCTGCTCAGTAATTTTCTCCTCTGATTCCCATGTAATTTATAGTGTTGTTGGGGAAGTGTTTTATTTTCTTGTGTTTTGAATTATATGCTATTGTACATTAGTTTTCTGGAGCTTATTTTTCTTCTCTTTTCAGAAAAGAGAAAGATAATTGAAGAAACCTGCATGTAAGCCCTTAAGTAAGATAAACATTTCATACAGGTCTTTGGACAGACAATTTTTGTTTAATTATTACTTAACTATTAGAACAGTCTATAGTGTAGCTCTGGCCTGGGTAATATCCTTCTCCTCTTATATGCTATGTTTTGGAAGATATTATGGACTTCTAAATGTTACTGAGATATCCTGCTAGCCAACCAAATGACTTGTGTTTCATTAGAATGATAAACTGTTGTTCCTCAAAAGGAATTGAAACTTGTTTTCCTCCCCCTCTCTCTTTTACTTATTTATCCCTTACCTTAACTAAAGGGATGGAATATACAATTCTGAGAGTTTGTTCCTGTTAATCATTAGCTTTTGAGCATGCTGATCTGAGAAACGTTGTTCCAACTTTACTATTTTTCTGATACTTATGCATGGTAATCAAATCATCTCTAATTTAAATAGCATAACTGATATTTTTCTGGTTCCTGTTCATAAAACAGTTTCTAAATTTCTATAGTAAATACTGCCATTTTCTGCAGCAATGTCTCGGTTTTCAGTATCTCTTTAAACTTATGTACCTAAAACATTATGCTGTCTTTAAGTGTTAGTCATGTTCCTCATCTCCCTCCTTCCTACCACATCTCCCTATGCTATTTTCCAAGCCCTGCAGCATCTCAGCATTGCAACTGCAGATTTTGTTCAGCTGTTCAATCCTTCTTGGAGCCACTGCTGTCCAGTTGGCAGTACCTTGTGATTAGGGTTGATGTCATTCTTGTGCAATTCCACACTTGGGTAAAGCTTGTTTGAAAATATCTAGATTTTTCTAGGGAAACTCTGGGTCATATAAGTGCCCCATTTTTGTCATTAACTTTTATTGGACAGATAAAAAATTGCAGCAGACAACAAATTGTGTTGTCTGCAAATACTAGGGAATTTTATACTAACAACCCACTAACAACTTTACTGTCCTTACTTAATAGCAACCAGTAATACAATAAAAATGTCAGATTAATGAAAACTCTAAGGGGGGAAAAACATTCTTTATCAACAGAAACTCATTGACTTCTATTTCCTAATATCTTTTTGCTTATTTTTTATTCTATGTTAACTTGCTATTTATCCATTCCCCATTTATTAAATATTTGTTTCTTGAATACATTTTATGGAGAATGTGTAGGGGAGTTCTTTGTGTTGTTGTTGCTGCTTTAAAAAAAAAAAACTCTTAATATTTTAAAGGGCTTCTATAAATCAGGTGCTTAATGCTGACATCCAGACTGCAGGATGATCCTCTTTGGGACATATTTCTGTAAGCACAGAGTAGTTTCCCAAGCTCAAGGATGTCTTAAATATGCTCAACCAGTTTCACTGTAAACTGAAAGGGGACAATGCCAAACAATATTTGAAGGTGCAAATGGTATTGTGGAGATGTCTTTGCCTGAGCATTTGTGTGCTCTCACCAAAATCCTTTACAATGTGTCTATTTAATCCTAAATTAATAAGTTTAGGATTAGTTAGGATGCTTATCAGAAGAAGAAAGCAATTTAATTTAAATAGAAGTTGATGAACACAACTGATTATAAAGTCTACTACTTGATAGAAGTAAAGCTTTTGTCCTCATCTGCTCTGTCAGATTACAGAGCAGGGCCTTCTATGAAGCTCAGAGTTATCAAGGCTTCTTAGGGCTGCAGACTATGTATATATATAAAATTTATGAAGTTGTAATAAACAATGTGTGCACGCACACACTCTGTTTCTATTTGTCATTAGTCTGTCCATTTGGTTGACTGTATATTTATCAGCATGTCTGCTAATATTCTAGAGCAATTTCTACTTCTATGCTCTTGACCATGTACAACATATAAATAGTTATTAGTGAACATTATAATATGCTTTCCTCTTCACACTTCAGCTGCTAAATAGCCTTTTGAAGTATTTGCTTAGAAAAGTATTTTCAAGTATGTACTTTTTTGCTGTTTCTGTTCATAGTTTTGAATTAAAAATGAATTTGCAGTGTTAAAAGCTATTTAGTTTTATATTTCAGCAGTAATAATGCACTTCTCCCAGGTTCATGGCATTAGAAGAACAGGGAATGAAGTCTAACCCCTCTTGATCTCTTAAAAGAAAAAAGAGGAAGGGCTAACTTTTTTTAATGTAACTGAATACACACAAAAAAAACCTTTGAAATGTCATGGTTTTTCCTCTCACTTTTCTACATTTCTCTCTTTCTGGAGAACATTAGTACTGTGTAGGCTATGAGAAGTAGCATGATGCTCAAGGTGGGGGAAGTTGCTTTTGAAGTGAAAGTACCGTGGATGCAGCTTGTCTTCTTGGCAAGAAGAAACTGTCAGCTAGCAATTCTCATCATTGTAGTCTATCACCTAATAGAGCATTGCACTAGATATAAGATGTATTAGATATAAAAAGCCAAAAACCTATCTTAAGTTAGGTACTCAGGAAAATTGCTGAGATTTCCTTGTAATTATGAACTAGTAGTTGGGTTTTATGTTCAGCACGCTCAGACTGAGAAATCCTATAGAAGGTGTCAAGAATTTCAATGCTCCTCCCTAACATGAGGCAGCTTCAGCACTGAGGGAAAGGTCTCCCACAAGGAATATTTTTGACTGGAATGTTATTGCTCCTTGCACATGCTAAAAACAATATGCTCCAACTTGGTGGAGGGATCTTAAGTACTCTTAGGTGCAGTGTGCTTTTTGGATCTATGACTTGTTTGGAAGCCTTGGAATGACTTAATGTCACAGCAAACCTCTGGGTTTTTTAGTGTTGCTTTTTTTTGTTTTCTTTCATAATATAAATATTCCTAAAATAATATTATCTGTGTGTTTTACAGACTTCCTCATATGAAGAGGTGGAAGTGGATGGAGGGACCCTAAAACAACCCATTTGGACTTGGGAATAAAAGTCCTTATTTCAGGATTCTAGCATACGTGAGGACCCAGCGGAGCAGTTTGAGCCAGCAGTCTGCTCTCAATCTGTACAGCCAGCTCATTTAAGCAAACTTGAGCAAGAATGGAAACATTAGATCATGCTTTATGATCCTCTAAAACCTGGGCTAGTTTTAGCCTTCTAAAAGTCGAATGTAAAACACTGGCATGCTGCTGCCAACCTGCCTGTCCTCTTTGACCCGCAGAACACATGCAGGAGGAAAGCTATAAGCTTTGGTCTGGAAGCTATGGTTTTTCAACATAAAGAGGTAAATAGCTTTGCTCTTCCTCTCCTACCCCAGTGATATTTCTGCTGTGTGGGGCCATGTGGATGATGTGGAAAATGCAATAGAAAAGGGAAGTAGGGATGACTGCAGAGTTAATGCACTTTGGCAAACTTAATCCCCCATTGCACACTTGTATTCTTCTGTGCATCACTTATGTCAGAGTGTATTGTAAGGACAACATGGTCATCAACCAAGCCCTTGTGCAGTGAGTAGGCAGATGACTTTGCCTATGCACATAGGCACTTGGGAGTGCAGGACTGAGTACTGTGTTTTCCTTTGTTTTTCCTCAGATTCTGTCCCAATGCCTTTGCATTTCACTGGTCTCTCAGCCTGAGTGGGAAGAAGGCTTTCTGTTGGTAGCTACAGTGGAGCAATGGAGTTGGAACTCTATTTTTTTTATGAAAGCCAAAACATTGGATTATATCTGTTTATGTGGCAGGCATGTACTGCCCTTCCCTTAGATGAATTTCACTGCTTGGCTTTAAGACATGAGGGATAACAATGTGTAGCTTTCCCTGAAAATCACTCAGGCCAGACCCTTAAAATTAGCACCTACATCTGAAAAAGCTCATAGCTTATCGTATGCTTCACCCATAGTATCCCTAAGCAGCAAGCTAAAGCAAGCATAAGACACATCTGCAGCCCTGCAGACATTTAGTTTGAACTAGCAGCCTGAAGCTTTCCTACAGGGAGAACTCCAGCAAACAGCAGACCTCGGTAGAAGTTGCAGGAGTTCAATAACTTTGTGATGTAAGGATAACCATCCTTATTGACAATATCTGAAGCAATGCATGATATGAAGATTTTTCATTAACTATATAGGAGGCTTTTATGATGCTGGATCTATATTGTAGTCTATCAAAGTGGAAAGCTGTATGTCAATTCCTATGTAGCAAATCATGATATACATTTGAAAACATGTTTGCAAATGGTCAGCTGGCAAGTGTACTGTGCACTGGTCCATCTGTTTCCCCAGTAACTGGGTCAGCCACTACAGAAGAGACTGTTTGACCCCTGCAGTGACAGAAGCCATGACCTCATGAAGAAAGTCTGTATCTGACTGGATTTTGACACTGGGATAGAGGGGGGGAAAAAGTGCTTTTTATAGAACCAGCTGGAACTGGCAGATGCCTGTTAGCCACCTTTACATCTTGGTTTGTGGAGCAATGCTAACTGCTCGTCAGCAATGATGGTGAAGGAGAAGTAGGAAAGAAGATCTGCAAGTTGCTGTTGCAGATCTGATGCATCCCACCTAAAGAGGCTGCAGTTAGGACTTGCTGCTTTCCTAGGAAGCTCTACCACTCTAGCATCACTGTGTGTGGAAAAAGTGCTACTGGGAGGGTGCCAATATATTAGGAAGTGTTATGGTGGCTGTTTTAATTTAATGTTTCAGTTTTCAAGAACTGATAACAGTACTGATATCTTCTCTGAGATGACTGGTTACAAAAAATGCCATGTTATAACTACTCCTATGTTACATTTTTTGTGAGAAGAGAATCAAGCTTATGCTTTCTATATTAATTTTCTCTTCTCCTTCCGCCTCTCAGGCCCAAGTACCCATTACAAGAAGTTCACAGGGATTATAACTCTTTCCTATCCCTAACAATTTTAAAGCTAGAGTGGCTGTTTTCCTCAAAGTTAGGCTCTAGTACAAACAAGAAAACTTTGTCACAAAAACGTTACCTAATCAGCATGGATATTTATCTTTAACTGCTAGGAATCTTTGTTTTTTTTCTTTGTGGACAGGCACCATTACAAACTGTACAGAAAGAGTTCCCAGGGGTTTAGATGTCTGTGGTGTCTTGACCATGTCTGCCATACAGAACCAGGTACATGGTTTTTGTAGTGAAATTCTATAGTGTCTTTGTGGACATAAATATATAGATAGTATGTAAAAACTGAGCAAAGCTTTCCCTCAAATGTGAGGGAAACAGATTACGTAGAGTTTAAGCATCAGAAAGAAATACATATTCTCAGAATGCATTCCAAAAAGTGAGAAGACAAAAAAAAGCTGAGTGTTTAATGTAATTTCTAATACCTCATGCTGTCCCAATAGTTGAAGCTTTGTGACCACAGCGTCACTTCTGGTCTTGTAGACAGTGAATTGTCAGTGCAAGGAATGTGTCAATGAAGCTGTCACCTGTATCAGCCATTTCCATCACTTCATTCACAGAGGACTGTTAAAATCCTTGAAGTGTTGAACAGAATTATCACTTTAACCAGACAACAGTGACTGAAACTTACTGAGGTTCAACTTCATTGAGCAGCCTAGCTCGCTGCTGAACATCCCTTTCTCAGACAAGCCTGTAAAATACACAGTGAATGATGCCCAGAAGGAACAGACTCATCATATTTCTGTTGGCTTGGGGAAAGAGAGTGTCTTGCTACTAGAGGTGAAGGAGCTGCCTCTTGAAAGAGTTGCTAAATGACACAATTGAGCTGAGAGTGATGTTCAATCATTTTGTTAATAGGGGGATCATCTTATTCACCAAACATCAAGCTTCAGTGTGCTTAGTGTACTTTTCTTACAGAAGGAGCCACACGCTTGGGGGAGAGCTGGAGGTTGTGCCAGCTTATGCTTTAAGTCTATAAACTATCTTCTGAGCGATGTGATTGACTGGAGACTTTGAAGGCGAGGGCCTCAGCTTCTCCTTTGCGTAGTATCCACAGCTTTCCTTCAAAGATCTTGGCTTGAGGCAGTGACATGGATTGTTCCACCCAGGAGGGTCTGTTAAGTGGCTCCCTTTAAAACAAACATCATCAGTGTTTTACAGATCAGCCAGCAGGGGTCCTGCCTTTGCCAGCGATGAAAATACACTTAACGGTCGTGCTGCTAATTGGGTCATGTTCTTTCCAGTGGAGCTTACCGGGCACCGAATGCAGTCCTTTCCCCCATGCCTATAAATATTGCACTTGCAATAATAATCACAGCAGTAATACATTTATTATGTTTATTATCCCAGTGCCTAGCAGCTTTATCTGGGGAGGAAGACCCTGTTTCGCTGGATGTCTCATGAGTGCTGAATAAAGCAGCGGGCCCTGGCTGAAGGGGCTAATGATCTAAGTAGGAGGCAGGATTCAAAGCTGGATAGAGACCAGCTGGCAGAGGAGGCCAAGGAAACAATAAGAGGGCACTAATCGGTGGATATGCTGTGATCGCAGCAAAACAGCGCTCTGTTGTCAAGATCTCTGTAGAAAGCTTTCTTTTTTTTTTCTTTTTTTTTCTTTTTCTTCTTCTCCCCCCCTTCTCCTTGAAACAATAAGGGGGGAAAAAAAAAAGTTCTGTGGAAGAATTAAAATGAGGCTAGTGCGTTAATTTTGCATCGTTATTGAGGTCAACTCCTGAGAGGGCAAGCTCAGGAGAATAACTAAGAGTGCTTGTCTGAACCGAGCACGAGGCCGAAGCTTGTCTGGGTGTGGGGGCCAGACAATGGGGAAGTTAGGAAAGGAAGGATGATACAAGGGAGCCCTCAGAGAAAGGCCTGTGCAAAGGGACAGATGACACGGTTCAAGGGAGGAGCTGTGTATGTGTTTTGTTTTGTTTTTAGCAACATTTTAAGGGAACAAGGTTAAATTAACCCCGTCTGCAGAGGCAAGAAATGTTTCGGTAATTAAACAAAAGACAAGGAGAGCCTGAGCTGAGTTTGCATTCATTAATGCTCTCAGACAGAACCAATTTAAAATAGAACTTGGCAGTTTGTATTAAAGAGTGGTTTAGAAAATCCTTAAACAGCATTTCCTGAAGCTACATAGTTAATATACTGCTCATCTTAAATCACATGCATTGGCTTTGAATCATATTCCTATTTTTTCTCCTTTGGATGATATTTTAAAAAGTCATGAGTAGCCATTACTAATGAGGCCTCCTAAACTGCAAACTATAGATCAGAGGAACTGTACCACTAGATCCCTTATTTGGTTTATACCTATTGCAAAACAGGACGATTGGGTAACAGTGTTATCAGAAAGCATTACTGTGCCAAAACTTTATAGAACTTGACTTTCCATTGCCCCAGTATCAAATAATTTTTCTAATGTAGTGTGATCTTTCTTCATGAGTTTTTTTTTAAGTATCTAGTTCAAAGGGCTTGCTTATACAAGCTTTTTTTTAATGTAAAAGTAGAGTATAATGCCTACAGCTTTAAAAACACTAGAATAAGTTTGCTGAAATTTTCTTGAATTGTTTCAAGATCTTTTTCTTCCTGCTTATTGCTCTTGATGCTAAAATATCTGAAAAACACTACCTAGAAAAGAGAAATCCGTAAATCTTGATTTACACTAGGACTTGACTCATGCAAATATTACAAATATATTTTTCTCTATTCTTTACATTTTTAAATTAAAAATAATATAGGAATTTGGAAATATCTAACTTTCTAGAAAAGTTCAAAGTGTTTTGTTAGGTGCTGTACAGTTTCCCCTCTAGATGGTAGAAGAGAACAAATTCTAAGGTACTTATTTTGTGAAGGCTGGGATGATAATAGGAAAAAAAATGCCTGTGAAAATACAGCACAAAAGCTGAAAAGTTCTGCTAATTAAATGATCTCCTTGTTCTGTTTTCACTTAATATGCATAAAAATTATTGTGTTGAATACACTGCTTCTGAATAATCTTAGAACTGGAATTTTAAAGGAATTAACCATTGGAAGAGCATACTGAAAATCCCTTGCAAATATAAACATCATTTAAATATAAATGGTTTTTAATGTAAAAATCTATTTCAACACATCTGGACAACTTCTGTTTTCTCTATAAAATCCATCTTTTGATTTAGTTTAGTAACTGAAACTTGCAGTTGTCCAATAGTTGTTGCCTTGCTCCAGAATTATTTCCATTCATTTTTACCTTTTTCATGTTAGTTATGAATAACTCTTGGTAACCATTTTTTGCTATTTTTCAATTTAATAAATCACAAAATACACTTCTAGATTTTTAGTTTCAAGCTCTGTTACATACAGACCCTGCTATACCTCAAAATGTTCCTGAACAAAGACTTGTAGCATTTACAAACAGATCAAATATAAATGTTTTTAATCACTTATAAAGTGGGAAAAATAATTTTTCCCTGTTTGTGTTCATTGCTTGTGACTACTGGTTTTATTAAAGATCAAGAAATTCTTCTCAGCAGCTGGAAAAAGAGGAGAGAAAAAAAGCTTGCAAAATTATCTCATGTCTAGGCAAAAAGGCCTCATGCTGGTAGAATGAGTCACAAGCTTGGAAGTATATGTAATCTTTTGCTCACTTCTGTTAATTTTAATCATTATCATTAAATGCTATTTCCAAATTTCTATTTTTTGAAAACATTCAAAAAATCATTTTTCTGTAGGCTCTGTAGAATAAATTGCCAGGTAACATTCTCTTCTAGTAATAGTGGAGGAGATGAATACTAGAACTTTGCACCCATGCAAATACATTGATGTGAGCTGGATTTTTTTTTAAAGCCCAACTACTTCCTCTGTCTATTGCTCATCTTTATTACTGGCAATTTTGCAATGCTTCTAGACCTGCAGCTTTGTAGGCCACAATGTTTACTATGCCTGAGCTTATAGTGTCAAAAAAAAAAAAAAAAGAATTTGAAAACAAACTTTCTCCTTCATCCTAAAAGAAAAAAAACATGGTAGTAATTTTTAGGTCATCTTCCATGCATGTAAGAAAGACACTTTTTGCGTACTTTGACATCATTATCTTCACAACAAAATGAAATTCTTGCTTTTCCCCAACACTGCTGCTTCTTCCAACCTTTTTCGTTCTCTTCCAAAATTACTGTGATACTGACTGGTTGCAGACAACTGTGAGAAGAGGGATTTTGAGAGACTGGCTAGCATTTTTTCTTGATGAGAACATTATAGGCATCTTACAACACAGCTAGATTGTGTTGGATGCCACATGCAGGCAACCTTCATTCCTCCATTTTCTAGAAAGTGACCATCTTTGCAGCTTCTCTACCTTCTTCAGTTGTCTTTTACTGTTTAAATCATTAAACAAAAGCTTCCCCTGGAAGGTAAAGCTCACCAGAAAGAACCAAATCAGCCAGGAATGGTTCAGAGAATTACAGACAAGCACAACTTGCTCATGTGCCAATTGATGGAAACTGTATAATGAACAATGGAATGAATAGACATCCTGATAACCCTCATATAGCGTGGGAAATTACAGCCACTGTAAGAAGTCACATATTGCAAATCTATTAGTGGTCCTGAAGAAGGTGGGATAATGGTGATTCTGTCAAGAAAAAGAAAAATACTTTTGTATTTCCAGGATGTTTGGGGCAAGGTTTCTCAACTGTAGAAATTAAATAATCACAATATAAAGGGATTATATAATTTCAGGGAATAATAGCTGTTTAAAAGGTAATAAATCTAGGACTGGAATATATGTTAAGAGGATGGGAGCTGTGCTGCTGAGCACACACATTTTTGGAAAAGGGGGATCAGATGACAAAGCTGGGGAGAATATCAAACAACTTAGGATGGTCAGAGCTTGTCTATAAAGAGTTCCAAAAGGTTTCCACAATATTGCATTGTGGGGACATAAGGACTGTTAACATTTAATACTGATAGATGTAAACAGGAAAAATCAGCTCTTGATTACATGTAGACATGATAGGCCTTAAATTACCTTTAAGAAGAGAGATGAAGTCACTGGGGATGGTTTTCCACTAGAAATCAGGAAGTATTAGGAACTCCTGCAAAGTAGAAAGGGATATAGAACAAAACACTCTGCTACCACAGCATAGTCTCTCCGTTTCAAAAACAGATTGAAAAAAAAGGATGGAAAGGAAGAATAAAGTTATCAACAATTTCCATGTAATGAGAGATTGAAGAGACTCCTCAAGGAGCATGAGACAACTTAGAATATATGAAGTTATGAATAGCAGGGAGGAAGTGATTAAGCAATGATTATTCACTTATTTCTCACAGTACAAGAGCAAGGGGGCACCCAATGAAATTACGAGACAGCTGCTTTAAAGCAAACAAAAGGAAGTACTTTTTCATACAGCACACAATTAAATAGCGGAACTCACAGAATACTGTGAAGGCCAAAATATAAGTGAATTCAAAA